GACCGTCTTACTGTCGTACGGTTTCCGGTACCCGGCGTCCAGCCACGACGTCATGTACCTCTACACGCCGACCGACGCCCGGTCCTTCTTCGAGGAAGCGACGTTCAGGCAGCACTGGCCAACGGTCGACGGACTGTTCGTGCCAGGCAGGAACCTGCTCAAAAACAAGGAGTGTACTGTCATCGCGAAGGCCAGCGATCGTGGCAACGTGATCAGAGCGGAAACACTAGCCGCCGTCATTCGACTGAATGATTTCATAGCGAACGATATGAAGGTAATGCGCTGTCGTCGGTAGCTGATTACTGTACTTGCCGGAAGGCACTTCAGGGTCATGATGGCTTATATGGTTCAGAGGTCATCGGAGCTTGCAAAATATGATAGTTAGATTTGGGAAGCGTATCGACTACACTATGTTGCTTTGATCGTGTAGCCTGAGGCCACGGCGTCTTGCACCGCCCGTTTGCTCAAAAGTGCCGAGGTTGCATCTTAGCACGCGGCGGCTTCATGGTACTTGATCGCCAAAAATGAGGCCCGCATGCTTAGGTGACCCCTAGACATAGCAAGCAACAGACCTGGATGAGGTGAGCGCATGATGACACATTCCAATATGCCAGCTCATGATTTCGCTAATTTCAATGACCAGTTAGTCAGCAAGTTAAAGTGAGTCAAATTCGATGATGGCCTTTCCTTCCAGTTCATGGGGAGAACACCTACCAGAAAACCTGCGTCTGAAGCAGAGTTTTCCGAGACACTTGACCAAGAATATTCTTGGTCTTCCCAAAAGTCTTCGGTGGTCGGTCAGCCAGGAGGTAGCAGGTGTTTCGCCTTTCCCTCTGGAAGCATTCGAAATACGTGCCCAAACATCGCTGCGGTGATTTCTCAGTCTGGAGAACCAGGGGCTTTGCACCAAGGTTTTGACCATTCACTTGGTGCGAAACTTGTTACTATTTTGCATTTTTTAACATCATTCATCGGTCGCCACCAGGTTCTTTCGTCGCATCGCCAAGCCACCTCCTTTTCTCTTCAGAATATTGATGAAATGGCAAAAATCATCTTTCACCTGTGGTCTTCGATTATTCAGAAATGCTGGGGCTTTCATCCACACAAGTTTGTGATCTTTATGTCTTTTTGGAGACGGACGTTCGTCACAGAAATCATGCAATCAAGCCAATATTTCAACTTATGATACCGGTCTCACTCGGCGAAAGTCATCGCACCCCCCCCACCCATATGCTTCTAATCGCATAGGGGGATTATTTAAATTGCTCATGGCTCACTGATAATTAATCACCTGCCATGCATCTCTGAATTTGGCACAGCAGCTAACACTATCCAGAGTCAAATTTACACAGACAAAATACAATTGTTATTGCTACCACAAAAGTGAGCTTATTTTTGGTTGCACTCAAACTCAATATACAATAATTTCAATTTTCATATTCTCCCTATTGAGTGATAGGAAACAGTACTGTGTTGGTCTCAAACAGCTGGTCGCTCAGAATTCATTCCTTTATTTTCAAAGTACGCAATAATTTTCGAGTTATTTGGAATCCTGTTGCAGGAGGCTCTTACAGCGACTCAGGGGCGCCACCAAACGCTCATTTACAATAGTTTAAGTTCTAAGACGTGACAGTGTTTGGTTTTATAAGCAAACGAGTCATTTGGTATGCGTTGCTGCACCTCAGCTGCTTTCCATATTGTTCTGCTAATAGTAGTCAGCCTACGAAGTCTCCTCTGTACCATCCTCATCACATGACCAAACTTCATCCAACTGAAATGCATACTGCAACTGCGCTATTTCAACCTAAAAGAGAGCGGCTCACAACCGAGGATGTGTGGAATTTGGAATTGTGTTGAGGGAGTTCTAGGACAATAACCCCCCCCCTCCCCCGTGGACAAAACCGTTTGAAGAATACAGTTCTCCCACTCATCATCAAGATGGATCTTGTTGAATTCTAGTCTTGTATTTCAAAAGTATTGTAACCCATAATGGAATTTGTAAAATCGAATAAAAGTAAAGAGAAGTAGAGGAAGAGGATAAATAATCATTCTCATGGTCCAGATCCTGCTCAAAAACAATTCTCAAAAGTATATGTATGTGTCTGTGTGTGTGTGTGTGGGGGGGTTGTCAGGTGGGGAGGGAGTTTGCCCATGAGAGGATTTTGTCCGGGAGGAGGGGAGGTTATTGTCCAGGAGGTTTTTGTCTGGCAACCGTTCAGGGAGTTGTTGAGTCTCGTCACTCCCACAATTCTTCGAAGAAACATCATTTCTGCCGTTGATCATGTATCCAGTTTCACTACGAGTAATCAAAGGTGAAATTGGGTGAATATGCAGATTTAAACAGAAGCAGTTTCATAGACGACTCAAATCCCTTGTCCTAGCCACAGTTACATTATTGCTTGGTCGATCTGCATCGCGATATCGCATCATCCATTGTACGAGTTTCCAAAAGGGTGAA